AACAGCTTACCGTAGTTTGCGGTAACTGCAGGGGTGTATGGAACTTAAACTGCTTCAAAATAAAAACACAATATTTAAGTCTGGCGAATAGCTGTCTTGATTATCTGAAAGTGTTTACTGCAGTGAAAATACTGCACCTTTGTATGCCCTAATGAAGTACAACCAGGTCAGTTCTTCTTTCCACACTTGAGAATTAGGGTCTTAGAATAACCAACATGTGCAGTTCCGGCATCTGCTCCTGATGACCCAGCATGCATGGGCTGCCTTCAGGAAATCAGAGAGGAACTCATACACAAGTACAAAGTAGAGAAACAATGTTCTGATTTATATTTTGGCCCCAAGTAGAACCTAGAATTTTAATGTGGTTTAATGGCATTCCGAAATCAAGCTCAGAAGGGGCTGCCCTGCGAAGTTTTGGCAGCCCTGTTAAAGCTCCTCCAGTGCCTTGCTGGTTAAGTGATGTAAATGTCTGAAACGCTCCCCACCTCCTTCCCTCTGGGCTGTGGGGGCAAACATGTTCCTCTAGGCCAGGGAAGGTCTCAAGCTACGTGGTGGGCACCCTGATGCCAGGCAAGGTTACGGTGCAGGAGCATCATTGCTTCTCCTGCGGTCCACGGAGACACCAGTGGACCTTGTGAATCCTGCCACAACCTCCACCTTCTCCTTCCATCTGAGAAATAGTGTCTAGATCAGAAAGCACCAATGTGTACATCACCGCTGTTGAGAAACTTTATCTCTAGAGTCCCCTATTAAGTACAAGGTAGGGCCTGCTGAGACTGAACTCTCTTAGGGAAATATTCACGCACCGCTTACCCTGTTCCTGTAGAGTTCTACTTTATAACTTGGTGCTTGCATTAGTAAAGACGTTGCCAACTAGAAAACAACTTTGATTTTGATAAATAAATCATGTAAATGGGTGATGTTGATTATTCATGATCCTGGCATCCTTGCTGAATTTTTAAGCTGCCTTTCCAAGATTTCATCAGAAAGATAGCAGGCTCCCTCTAGTGGGAGTGGGCATTGTAGGACCTTCCCAAGGAGTACAGTTTCTTAGGCTGCTTTTGTTTGAAAGAAACAGTGATTCTTGTGACTCAGGTAATATGAAATCCTTGACATTTATTTTTATCCTGGTATAGTTTTATTTTTTAATGTTGATTCAAAATTAGCTTTTTTTCGTAGCACTTGGGAGACTGAGGTAGGAGGATCATTATGTTACTGAAGAATTTAATCCTGAGTAGCAAGGAAGGCTTATAGGTCAGGTGAGAGTCTAGAGGAGGCCAGAGCTTAAGGAATTGAGCTGGGGGATGGCAAAGCAAGCTGGGAACCTGGGTCCACCTCCAGGTCCCCAGCTTGTTCTGGGGATGGAACAGCAATTTAGATTACCGTTGAATAAAAGAAATCCTTCACACTGGGGACGGAACTGCTTCCGTGTGAGTGAAGGGCGGTGAAGGGAAATCTGCAACGAGGCCTGACGT